TTCGATACAATTAACAGTCGAAAAGTACAGTTTTTGAATAGATTTTGTACTGAAGGAACAATTGCATTTCCCAACGCTGAGTAGAACTCTCCTTTCTTTGTTACCAGAAAAGAGGGGCGGAATTTTTTTTGCGCAGAACTGCTTTCTGTGTAGAGATTTTTTGGGGTGAATTTGTCCGGGGGATTTTGTCCGGGTGATTTTAGTAAGAAAAGAGTTCAGTTTCGTCAACTAAATATGTTTTTCTCAACACCTGATTTGGTTATAGGAACATTATTTGGTTATAGTTACCAAATAATCTGTTGAGGGGAATATATTTGGATGACTTTTTTGCTGAGTGTATCGTTCATGTAGCATTTCAGCCGATCGGAATAATTCTAGGCGCTCGTTTGGGGAAGAAATGTAAATCTGCACATCATTTGATTTGATTTCTTTTATCTAGTTATAAACTTCCAAGCATACATACGAACATACACATATGTACATAATTACATATTTATGCTTATACATGTGTACTTACATACGTATGTATGTACATACATACATATATATTTATGCATGGTTAGTTGCGTCGTTACGGGTTATCCTACCCGTGTGTATCTCTGTTTGTATCAGCTCTTTTGGCACATTCTTTTTCATCGAGTGTTCGGCTTCCATTTTTCCTTGTGACTTATATGTGTATGAACATGCTTTGAGAATGACCTTGCGTATATGGGGATTGCTTAAGAAAGTATTGTAGCTTGCCTGCATGCCATTTCACAAAGCCATTCGGACGCTTTAAAATGAAACAAAATGAACGCAATTTTTTTTTTTCGGAGAGCCAATGTTACTGCTATGAGCAACATCAGACACGTCGGCGTCGTCGCTGGCATCGGCAAATGAGATTTCATAATTTTTCGCTTGGCAACAGAGTCTTCTTAACTAACAATCTGTGAAGGTTGTGTGCGGTATACAGGGCGTATGATTTACGAATATTTCTCTCATGTGCATACTTATTCTTACATATGTACATATATATGTGTGTGGTATGTATGCATGTACATACATAAGTACACTTAGGTCTCTTTTCATGCGGTACATGCGTTCCTCAGAAAGTTCTTTACTTTCATACAAAAACAGGGGATGCGTTCCAGCATTCTCAAAAACCGAATAAATTCAGATACTCCGCGTGAAAAATTCTAAAAATCCGCATAAAGAAATCTAGTGAGCCAATATTAAGCAAAAAAAAATATATATATTTCTTCACTTCAACACTTATTATTCCATGAAAAACTGGACATTAATGAAATAAGTAAATACAATTTTATCTGTATTTGAACAAAAAATAAAAAATAAAAAATACCACAATAAATACATGAGTTATGTAAAAAACAAAGAAAAATTATTTATCAGAAGCATTGGGGCGAATGAATAAAAACAAACCGATTGTTTTTTTTTTTTAAATTGCATACCTTTTTTTCAATTTTGTTTGAATAAATCGAGTAAAGTGTAAGAAATTTAAGAAAAAGCAATTGCTTATTTTTTATTCATACGGCCCGGCCCATTGTCTCTTACAACCTCTCAAAAAAACAAAATCGCTACAGCGAACAAATGGTTTGAAAACCCGCATAAAAAGAGACCTAAGTGTACACACACATTCAGCAGCATCGGCAAAATAGCTTCATCGAGCCAAAGTGATGGTTGTTCAATTATTTCGCACAAGTCCTGTCGCCCGTCAAATTACAAGAAAACAATCACAGTTCAACAATGTAACAAACCAATTACAGCAGTGTCCTCTAGAATAAATTCTAAGACTATATATATATGTTACATATATATTTTTTTTAGTTATTATTGATTTCCATGCGGAAATGCTTAAAAAAAATTCGACTACTTTTTGCGAGTTTTTGATTTTTTGAGTTATGTATTACTTTCTTTTAACAAACGAGCAATATGTGATTACATTCGACTAGTATAACATAAAAATCAGTTGAAACTTTTGTTATTATTTCGGGGGTAATAAATTTTTATATCAATAGCACATAGATACACTCATGGCAAAAAGCATTGGTACAAAGTTTTCAAAATATATGAAACAATTTGAATTTTTTGGTGCAAAACTCAATAAATCGTCATGCAAATTTTAAATTTTGTAATCTGTTTTTTTAGGCTTAGAAGTTTTAGTAAGGAATTTCCACCATTTTTCCATGGGAAAAAATGCTAAAAATTAACGGTAAGTCCCAGCTTCTTCAAAATTGCACTTTATTATTATTATTTTACATTATATAAAGTTGAAAAATTGCATCAAAATTTTCCTGACATTTGCACAAAGAAATTAGAAATTATGCTTTTTATTGTAGTACGAATCATATTTTTATAAAAAATTCTCTGTACAAAATGTTTTGTCGTGAGTTTATCTACAATTTTTTTTTTTTTGGGAAAGACTGTTTTATAGACTTCAGCCGGAATCGAACAAGCGTCGCGAATGTACAAAAAAGAAGACAACTCAAATTAATAGTGGTATTACACTCAAAATAGTAGATATTACTGAGATAAGCCGAGATTTTTCCCATAGATTTTTAATTCTTACAATGAGAGTGTTCCGGGCTTGAATCGATTAATTACCAATCGAGTAAAAGTGCATGTTGAAATTCTTTTTTTCAATGATTAAGTTATGATTCTTGATACTTGGAAGGTAAATTCGTAGTAAAATTCATGACCAGTCGTAAAAATTTAGGAACATAATGGCAAAGTGGAATCCAAAGCAAGTGTGAGTCACACTAAAGTTGATGTTCAAAACATCGTTGAAATTGACATCAATCAATGTATCGACAATTCAGCGATTTTAGGAAATCGTAAACATCGATGGCAAACATCGAATTTTGAACCGATATTATCGATATCTCAAAAATATCGATGCATCGTTTATATTCCTTATAGCCATTGGTATAGTCATGCATGCATGCGCCTGGAATGTGCGATGCGTTAATGGGGAAGGTGCCTCTCATGGCTTGGCTGGTTGATGAGGACAAAAGTTGACATCACTTAAACTTATAAATGAAATGCAAATGCCAACGACATGAAGTAGTAAATATAACATTTTTTCATTCGTAAGTGACGTGTTTACGTTTTTTAAAATATATTATTAAAAGAAAAAATTAAATAAAACCGATGCGGTAAAAAAAATCCAATCCAGGACCCGCTGCGCTAATCGGTGGAGCATTCGAGTCTTCAAATGATGAGTTCTCCTTATCCTTTCTTGGTTTAACATTCAATTAAAAATGTATTCAATTTTTTTTCAGAAAAGTTCATCAACGAGAATGGCGGCGATGAAGCGGAATATACATATAGCTGCATCGATGTCGTTTTTCCAAATTGCCAATAACCGCATGTAATTAAAAGCACGCAACAAGATGTAATAATTAACCTTTTTATGNAATTAACTTTTTTATGCTTAATTTTTGTGAATTTGTATGCTAAAATGTCTATTCCCTATTTATATTTTCGCGACTGTAGATGAGTCCGCCGAAAATTCGCATTTCGTTTAGTTTCTAGATGTTAAGCAATCAATGTATGAGTTTTTTTAATGAAATATCTTTAAATAAAGGGTTATAAAAATGTTTATAAAGAGCTTTCTTTTGAAAAGATACTCTTATAAACCACTTTTTTGAACCTTTATTATAAGTTTACACTTTTAGGCTTTTAAAAAGCTTTCTTTTGAACATTTATTACAAGTTTATATTTCTACGCTTATAACCAGGGAACGGATTTTTAGGACCTAAAAACCTATAAAAAAGGCAAAATAAAATAACGAAATAGGCTAGAAAAGGCAAAACAAAATAGCGAAAAAGACAGGAAAAGGCACTAGGTATTGCCAAAAAAGCAAAATCAGGCACTAAAAAAAGACAGAAAATACGAAAAACAATCAAAAAATACATTCATATTATCAGGAATAAGGGCGTTTTCCTCGCCCTTTACAATTTTATCCACTCCCCTTATTGTCTCCAAGCCTTCGTTAGCTGAGAAAACGGCTTTGAATTTTTTCAACACCAATTTGGCAAGAGGTCCCTGCTCTTCTATAAGCCGCATGTGTATATTTTTTAATCTTAAAAAACAAATTGTAAATGCTATAATCACCTTTTTAAAGGTAGAAAAGGCAAAAAAAGGCAAATATCTTAAAAAAGGCAAATATCTTAAAAAAGGCAAAAAAAGGCAACATCAAATGTGTATATATGGAATCAGGGAAAGCTAAATCGTGGACATTCTTAATCGAATATAATCTATCTCTTTAGCAGAAAAAAAAGGCAATTTCCATAAAATCCGTTCCCTGCTTATAACCAATGTTCCATTTCGATTATATTACGCTTACTTTCAAGCGTTTTATAAACAAAAAAAAACAACGTTTTGTAAGCTTAATGTTTATAATTGAAAACTTTAAAAAAAAAACTTTCTTTAAGTTTATTTTGCTTGTTGGGTTGAGATTAAAAATGAGAATGTGTGTGTGTGTGTGAGCTTGAGTTCGAATTTTAAAATTATATTGCTGGCAAACGTCATACTGGTTTCAAAGTAGCCCTCGGTGCGGTAGAACTCGGTTGGACGCCACTGTTTTTGGAGATTGGCAATGCAATGGCAATACGGCTAGTGCTTTTCGGGGATTTTCGAAATTATTCAAGATTTTTTACGGATGTTTCCGATTGTTTTAGCTACTTTACTTTTCGCCATTTTTTTTTTTTTTAATAACTTTGATGCTTTTTTGGGACTTTTCCTTAATTTTTGAGGACTTTTCGGTGTTCTTTATGTTATATTTTTCAGGATTACAGGATTATTTCGGGATTTTTGCAACTATTTTGTTCTCATTACATTGTTTGAGATGCTGATCGGTCGAGAATCGAGCTTTGGTCTACCGAGTGTTGGGGCATTACGCACCTTTGACCACTCGCCTACGGTGTCCACCGTTTCTATATATTATCGATTATCGCTATTTACTGGGTTAAGTGTTAAGAAAACTATTTTGGTTAACTTACCATAATCAGTTGGCATGGCGCACAGCGCTTGATGATGATGTGGATGCTGAGGGCAAATGCTTTCGGTTGGATGCGGCGGCAAGTAATACTCCGTTGGATAGAAATCTCCGGTATACTGAATATATAGCTGGCTGGACGCCGACGATGGCGGTGCGGAGGCAACGATCGTATTGCCGCTACTACTGGCAGCACTGCCTGAGCCAGTGCTCAACGATACTCCAGGAGCATTGCCGCTGCTTGAGTTGCCAACTCCTCCTGCGCCGCCGTCGTTAGCACTGCATGCACTGGCGTGAGCGGCGGTATCGATCAAAAGTTGTTGGGAATGTTGAGACGTTTGTGACTGCTGCACTGCTGCACTCAACACAGCTGTTTGTGCCTGCACTGGAACCTGCGGAGCTTGTACGCCCGTTAGAGTGCACTGTTGCGTTGGGTGTGACTGCGTTTGTGGCGATTGTACGTGTGGGCTGTGTGGATGATGCAAGTGCTGCGGTGGAGGATGGCCAATTCCGGCTGCGGCTGCCAGTTGCTGATGCATAGCTGCAACTAGGGCCATCTGTTGTTGATGCTGCTGTGGATGGTGAACAGCGCAAACGGGTTGCACCAGCTGAGTGCTGCCCTGTGGTGGTGTTGCTGCCTGTTGCAGCAGCGGTGGCGAAGCTGGAAGTGACGATGTCGTCGGGCCCTCCGTTGGCGATTGTTGTTGTTGCTGCTGGTGGTGAATACCCAAACCGCTCGAATTTGTCTGCAATGACGTCTGATGCTGAACATTGTGACCATGCAGATGTTGATGCTGATGCTGATGCGGCGATGCCACTGCTGCTCCATGTGCGTACTGCGGTGGCTGCTGCTGGGCTACTTGCAGCTGAGGGGCTTTTTGCTGCTGCTGCTGCTGCGGCTGCTTTGATACAACCATAACTATGTTGGTTGGAGGTCGCTGCTGCTGCTGCTGTTGTTGTCGTTGGCTTTGATTTGAGTTTGGGTTAAGGTGTTGTTGTTGTTGTTGTTGTTGTTGTTGATGATGCAAATGTTGTTGAACTTGATGCTGCAGCTGCAGCTGATGCTTATGTTGATGCTGGTGTGGTTCAAAGGAGGATGCGTTGCTGTTCAAACTGGAAGTCGATGAAGAAGGGGAGGAAAAGCTATTGGTGAAGTTGCCACTAGCAGAATTTTGGGCGCCATTGCTATTGTTGTTGTTGTTGTTGTTATTGCCGGCATAGTATGTTTGAAGGAGTTGTGGCGGGTGAAGTTCCTGTGCAGTCGAAGCGTTCAAGCGAACCATGTCAACGGAAATATTAAAGGCCGCGGCGGCGTTGCCACACAAATGTAATGTGACGGTTTATATTGCGGGGTTTCAATGTTTTATTATTATTACTTATAAAACACATTTATTTACAAAAATGTTCCCGTTAATCTGCACATTGAGTTTTGATTTGGTATTTTGGTGGTCTCCACTTTCTCTCGTTTATTTGCTTACTTCATTAGTATTTATTTAAAAAAAAAAATATAGTCAGTTAAACTTCTAGGGCAGTTTTCGTTTGAATGCATTTATATAAAGAACACCTGGAAAATTTCGTTAATAGCAGTCATTTGTAAAAAAATATCCGCTATTTTTATGTATGTATATTAACTTAAGGCCAAACTGCACGGAACAATTGCTTACTCTGAACTGTGGAGTAAGTGGGTGGAGTTCTCAATTATTTGTGAGCCAGATCCGTCAATTTGTAGTATTTTAGTTTGGTTTTCCACCAATCGAGAGGGTTTTAATCGAGATAGGCTCGTTTTTCTTTAATATAGGCCTTGTATTCAGCTTTAATTAGACATTTTTTAATGTCATCGAGCCTTCGCTTTTGCTCGAGGAATATAAAATTATTTCAAGGTTGGCAATAAGACTTTTAACAGAACTTGTTGAGCTTCGCATTCGCAAAACATTCCCATTATTTGATGCGAATGCGAATGCCGTCGATGTTTTTGCAAGACCGCCCATCGACAAATTGAAAAACCTCCTATCTAACGGTACTCAAATTTTACAGGAGAACGAAGAAACGGCTTTTCTTTGAAGGCATTGCCTAGCTATTATTTTACAAATTTGTTGTTTTAATAACGATTTTACGATTTTTATGCATAAATCTCGATGCTTGGAGTTCAGGGTTACCAAATGTAATTTTTGCCACAACGCAGTGCACCAGGAAGCCACTGAAGTCGACAATTTTTATACTAAGATTTTTAATAAGAGCATAGCCATGCGTAAGCTCTTCACAGAAAAAAATGTCAAAAATATATTCTTTGAAATCAAATGTTGGTTTGACGTTTCTTGTTTCCATATACATAGTAGAGAATTACAGGAATTAAAATTTTGGAATAAAATTAAACACAGGGTATGCCTGCGGTATTCCAGAAAAACAATTTTTTTAACGAAATTTCAAAAAATGCTAAATTTTAATGGAATGAATAAAAAATATATGTAAAAACAGGTTATTTTTTATTATTTTATTAAATAGTACGGGCTTCTAGCTTTCAAAAGCAGAAATAAAAACCTGCTCATTTTTTGCACTTTCTGAAGTAATGCGTTTTTCGCTAGTGCATAAAATAATTTTTTCATTTTTTGTCAGTGCCTTGAGATCTGCACGATTCGTTCCATTTTCAAAAATGAAGTGTCAGATTAAAAAGTTTGACCTGTAGACAATAGAAGGCTTATTTTTTTTGCCAAGAGTTGCCACCTGTTAAAAAATTAGATGGCTAAAAAATTAGATTCAAATATTTTTATATGTTAAATGAATTATTAAGAGATGGGTATCAATCGAAATGTGTACTAACTGCATGTAGAGAGTTGCCACTTGTTTAAAAAATCAAATTCCACTTGAATTACAGTAATTAGGTTATTGAAATAGATAGGTCTCACCATAAGAAAGTCAGATGAAGGAGGTTTAAGCAGGTTTTAGCTTAAAAATATTACGAATAGGGTTACCACCTGTTTGTAAAGTCGAATTTAGTTAAACTAAAATAATAATTACGTCAAACGATAGGATTACGCCATCGTATTTGTTATTTTATTACAAATACATACATTGTCAATCAGTGATTTATTCTGATTACATTCCTTTTAAATTACTGGACTCTTAAATTATCTAAGGAATGTTTTTACTCATCACTTATTTCTTGCTAAATATGTTAAATTTTTTCATTTGTCTGATACTCATATTGATGTACATATGTATTTCAGTTACCTTATTCCCTTAATTAAAGTGAATTTGATTTTTTAAACATGTGGCAACTCTTCTACGTGTCATTTAGAAGTAAATTATTTTCAAAACTAGTTCAATTGATGCCCATATTGTAATATCTAACTCATTTAAATTATATAATTTTAGTAAAATTTGTAACAGTTGGCAACTCTTTTCAAAAATAAAAAACTTTATTGCACATATACAGGCCAAGCCCTGCCATTTGACACCTCACTTTTGAAAATAGAACAAACTATATGTACATACCTACATACAGTCAGTCAATAAAGTTTAGGTACAGCGAATTTTTTACAAATCGGGCAACTATTTTTTAAATATTTTATTTTTCGATAATTTTTTATAAAAATATGGTCAATTCTACAACAAAAAACTCAAAAATCACCTAAACTTTATTGACTGACTGTATGTAAAAGCCACAAGAACCCAAATTTTCAACTTCAAACTGCATTTACAGTGAAAGTATGAAAGTTATCCAAAAACAAATTGCATTTTTGAATTTAGCGTCCTCAATTTTACTAAGAGGCGAATTTTTATTTAAATCCGTAAATAATTCTATTTTTGCCCACATTTTATATGGAGAGGGAAGCACTGCGCAACGGTGATTTAGGCGCTTCTCAAACTGGTCGATGGGCGGTTTTGCAAAAAACATTGACGATATATTTTTTTGTATACATACGTATGTACAATAAATATGTATCGCTAATATATTGAAAGACTATCAGCACTAAAAATAAGGAAGGGATTTTTGAGCTAACGGTACAGAATTCTACTCGTTATACCATCTTTCATAATATGGCGTAAAGGATATTTAAAATATATTCTCAGCTTTAATTCGAGAGTTGAAAGCTTCAAACGCGTCTCCTAAAAACCCCCGGTATTTTCAGTTGTGACCGTCTTTTAGTAAATGAGCGATACTTACTTTGCATACATATGTACATTAGGGCTATGATTTTTTTTTAGATTAAAATGCCTGTGGTGGCAAACGATGAACTTTTGTAAAAATTTCCAAGAAATAACAACAATTTTGATAAATTATAAAAAAAAAATCCCGCGCATAGCGGAATTTATTATCAGTTTCTAAGTGGAGAAAATTAATATTCAAACATGTTTTTCTTCTCAAATGTTTTATGGTTTTATTAAAGTAAAATAGATTCGTGGATTTAGTGCTGATACACATCGTTTTTAAATCAAAACTTGGTAGGCAAAAAGGAATTTCGATCGAATTTTTATACTAGGTATGGGGCTTTGCCATGCAACAGCCTTGTAAATGAAATGAGTGTGCGCGGGAGGTATTTTCACGAACCAACAAAAATATAGCCAAAAAAGTAATATATGGACAAAAGTTCATTAAATGCAAGCACAGGCAAATCAAAATTTAAAAAAAGTGTAAAAAAATCATAACCCTAATGTACATACATACATAAGTTAGGTAAAAGGAGGGGGGGCTGACAAGTGACAGTGGTTTTGTTTAACTAGAAGTTGATATGTATATGTAGATATATGTATATGACAATTCGTACGCGAACACACGAGAACTGACGGAATGTGTCACGTACATACATCTGTACATACATGCATACATACATACATACATACATATGCATATTAAATAAACTTGTGATGGAAGTTTACAGATTGGAAAGTTTGGAAGGATACAAGTGAAGAGGAAAGAGGTCGCGATGTATCGTTTTCAGTTCAATGAGCATACTAACGGTCAAGGGAATACGAAATAATGTCCATTGTTTTCTGTGGACCAAGCATTATCCAACTGCAGATTTCCAACCTATGATTTTTTTTTTATTTTGCACTGTTGAATAAAAAATTACAATGCGGCAGTAATATTTGCATACATACATACATACATATGTATGCATATGCGTGTGTGTGTTAATAATCTCAGCAATCCCTAATTAGGATGGTAGGGGATACTACACACAAACGCTGTGCCACGCAGCGTAGATAGAGTTATGTGAGTATACTTACTAACATATCGACATGAAGGGGGGCATAAAGGACAAA